AACTGCATTTCTTAAACAGAAATGTTTAGGGGGATAATAACACTAAGAAATGCAACTTAGTGCTGTCCTATCTTGTGGATCAGTCTTTTTGGTGCCTGCTGAATTCAACTATTGTTAATGATTTATGTCATCTGAATTTGGTACCAACTGTTACAATATCCCAAACAGTTTCCAGAAAGCAAATTTTTACGCTGACGCAGAATGTTTTGGTAGCCACGTTACATAGAAATATCTACCTGAAAACTGTGTGAGACACTATGAAAAAACATTTTGCCTTTCTTCACGTGTGAGATAATTAGAATTGATGTGGTAGTAAACTACAAGATAAAGTGGTTTTAAAATTCTGTGCGAACTTTGAGCAGTGGGAAAGTTCTGCTACAGTTGACAACCTGTTTTATAACATCAGATCCTTGTTACCAACTCCATGGCAAAAGCCACATACCACATAAGCAGGATTTAAAAATACGTGTGGTGATTCAGTCACATTTGCTATTCATTTCAGGATAGTTTTTGTTTGCTGGATACTGCTTTTGACTGGTGAGAGGGAAGAAATGAACGGTATGAGTAGTTTCAGAATTTCCCAGAAAAAAAAATGTCTGTAAAATTCAAGTGTTGACTGCCCCAATTTCTTACAGTTGATTTGGTAACGGAAATGTCTTGAATTACTTGGTTTGGACACTGTTGGGAAGATGGGAAAGAGTTGCCTGCCTAGAAGTTTCACATGATTTTGTGAAAAAGCAGACTGCCATTAATTGCCTTGACTAGAATAAACTATTTCATTTTAGTTTTATTTTAACTCGAGTCCTTATGGAGGATAGATTAATGTGAAGTAAGTTCTCAAATACAGATTTGTAAGCTCTAGAATATATGACCAATACACAGATATTTCAGATCCTTTTTATTGTATTACTCCAAATTTAATAAAGCTCTCCAGAAAAAGAAGCAGTAGTTTGTTCTAGTTTGCAGAAGGTAGACGTTCAGCTTGCCCATGATAGAATCTCTGCTTTGTCAGATACTACTGTTGGATTTTAACTTCTTCTTTCCTCAGAATTTCAGGAACTTTCTTATGTAATATTTTGGGGACTCTAGCTGGCTATTTCAAGAAGGAAAGAACTAGTTACTTTTTTATGGAAAGCCTACATGCTTTATTTTTCAAAGCCTTTCACTGAAGAAATTGTTCTTTCATTTGCTGCTTAAGAAACCAAAGGGCCTTATGCTGTAAATGTGACATGTATTTTGTTATACTTCAACAACTCTAAGTAGTAATAGCATTAAGCATATTTCCCAAATAATTGTTCATGTATTGTAGCTGCTGCCTTAGCCCTATTATTTTAGAATACCTGGGACCAGTGAAATTATGGTTTAGAAAACAAAGCCTAACAGATTGTGATGCTTATGTGCTGTTAATATTCATGGTAAACATCATAGGTTATATTAAGGTATCTGTGTAAACCTAAGTACTATACTAGAACTGTTAAATTATTTAAATTCATTTAAAGTTACTAGTACTCTATATTCTCAATCACACTAATGTTTTCTTTTACATCAACTTTTTGAAAGCTACATTTTGTTAGGATAACTTAAGTCAAGACTTTGAAAAATTACTTGAATCTGTATTCCTCTGAATTATTTGGAAAAGAAGGTTATTTTCAAAATAACATCTCTTGGGACTCTACAGTGTATGTAATTAATATATCTATGGTAAAGGCAGTCTTAAATATCAGTGTCCTGATCTTGGTTTTAAGCCGCTGATCCTCTTGTCCTGGGGAAATTTCAGAACTTCATTTAGATTTAATTTATGGAGAGAAAGTTGACTGAAAAATTTTGATTATATTGTGATCAAATTTTATGTGTAAGATTGCTGAACTCTGGGGTTTGAGGCGTATACTTTTGGCATCTACTGTTGAAGAATATATTTGGTAAGAACAAAGCAAAAAATATCCTACAGGATAAAACTAAGGTTCTTTTTTGTGATACTGATGTGTTGGAATAATATTTTTATGTGGCTCAAATAATATGAAATGTTTCTTATTTCACATTTCCACACATCATTCTGATTTCTCTGTTAGCCTCAGTTTTCAGAATGTCCAGAGTAGATGAATAGAAACAAAGAAAACAGGGAGCTTATGAAAATCTTAGAATTTTTTTTCCAGTTATTAAAAAATAAAATTGGAGAAGTAATTTCAGTTAAAATCAGAGGATCGCATCCCTCTTTTTTGCACATACTTCCTATTTAGTGTGTCAGAGAACTGAATGTTGAACATCTCAATTATTTCTGCTTAACTTGAAGGGAAGAGGAGTTGCAAGAGGTAAGTCACCAATGTGCCATGTGCCACTTGGCTCCAGCTACAATAGCCTTTCCTTAGAAACCATTGTCCAGTTCATGTATTCACTTGTACATCATCATTCTGAAGCCCTGCAAGAGGATGAAAGACTTGTATTATGGCCAGAGTGAACATCAGAGTTTGAAAGCAACAGTTGTGCTTCAGATCCATTTCAGTTTGTAGAAAGGAGTAGGAGGAAGGAACCGTATTACAAAATGGGGGTATTCCAGAGACCTTCTATCTTTTGACTTGGATGGAAAACAGTTCTGCATCTCAACTGACCTGAAGTAGAGGAGACTGTTCAGCCCTAATGCAAAACAAAATGGATAACACAAATTCAAAACTGGTATCTGTTCAAGAAATTGCAAATTCTTTATTGGAAAAGTAACCTGATATAAATATGTCTTCATTATCTGAACAATTCTGTAAGTTACACAGAATTTCTACCCTTTATATTCAACCTAATTTAAAGGAAAAAAGTGTGTAAGCTGACTGGTTGAATCATCACCATACAGTCTCTGCCCTGCACACCTGTTTTGCTTGCCTGGCCCTCCTCCTTACTTCTCATTCATTTGTAAAGAATTAGCAAAGACAAGAAGGGTGAAATGTTTTTTGATTGATTTGTCTATGAAATGTTTACAAAAAAGGAGAAATGCAAAGAAGAGAAGTAGAAATTGTTGCCAATTGCTGCATATCTTAAGCGTAAGCATCAGTTGTGCTTTGGCTGCTCTGGTGTATGTTAAATGAACACTCTCGTACCAACACAGCAGTTTTTCCGTATTAGAACTGTTGGTTCAAAATTCTTGAAGTGTAAAAGCCTCTGAAGCATTCTCTAAAAACCCAGTCTTAGAAAATTAATTTTGTAGGTGGAAGGATGGTATTAAAGAGGCCTGAGAAACTACTGGGGCTGATTGAAAGGAACCTTGAAACTAGTTGCATATTGAGTAGTGAGCTTTGTAGTAGTTAGCTGAGTAGTTAGCTGCTTCTTTCAAGAGGAGAGAAGCGGAAATGAAATGGCACAAGTGTCATTTCAAGGATGGAGGGAGGAGCAGATTTTCCCACACGTTTTGTGGATAAGGCATAGTAAGGCCTGTGAAGTCTTCTTATCTGAAGGGCAGTACCAGTCTTTTGAAAGTTAGAGAATCACCAGCTGTATGGGAGAGACAAAGTAAGAAATTTTACTGAGAACAGAGATAGGATGTTTCCTAGTTTGTTTTATTGAATACTGTATGTCTTCCTCTCTGAATGGTGATGTGAATTAGAAATGGCCTGGGGAAGTTGAGGCCTTACTGGTCTGCCCAGGTGCTGAGTACTCCAAGTAAAAGGCTGCGTTTTTAATGCTTGAAATATTGTGCACCTAAGTCTTAACGATTTAAAACTTTTCTGTTAAGGTTTGTAGCAACATTTATTTCACATATATTTCCATAAATATCCCAGTGGCACATTAGAGTAAGGAAAATGTGGTAGCTTTAGTATTGTAACCTCTTTTGTGTGTATGTCTACAGATAGGTAAGTGTGTATTTAGACTACAAGACTACAGATTTTTTTCAGTTCGAGGGGAACCCAGGAGAGCAAAGAAAAAAAAAAAAAGTAGTTTAAAATTTAATTCAAATTCTACAAGGCTTCCATTTGGGCAAACGATTATATGCTGCTTTGTTATGTATTATAAATTAATTCGGTTAGTCTGCCCATACCTACATGATTTGAGCAGAAAAGAATGGTTTTTAAAAGGTAAGTTCGTGAAGACTGAGTCCCTTGTTTTCACAGTGATTTTTGTTCATTAATGAGTTATTTGTGGAGGAGGGAAATATCACTGATTTGTGCCACTTCCAGCTAAAGAAACGTGAGGAAGGGGAATACAGAAATATCTTGCTGTACACATAACCCTTTTATGTTCTTTGTTAAGAGATATGCTGCATTTTATATACTCTATTATGAACTTTTATTCTGAAATAGCTGTGAGGAAACCTGTCTGGAGATTTTCGGGTGATTGAGCTGATTTTCACGTGAGGTCCTGCTTTGTATCTATCTTTCCAGTAGGTTTTGGCTGCTTTAGAAAGAAATTACGCAAGGCAGTAAAACCTTGAATTCATACACCAAATCCTCTTGCCTTCCAGGCCTCACACCTCTATCAACCGAACATACAAGCCTGTGAAGTTGTATCGTCTTTGAGTTCTCTGAAACAATTCTAACTGCTGTACAGATTTCTGAGATGAAGTTGTAAATCAAAATATGTTATAGTGAACTCAGGCCTTGTGCAAAATATTTAATATTTGTTTATTTGTCTAATCGTACAGTCTCTGTACTAGTGGCAATTTTATGTGTTGATTGTAAAACATGAAGATCCTCATTTATGAAGTAGTGTTACTGTAGTGTCAGCTGTGATTCATGATTAGAACTGTCATAGCATGGCATTGGTGTATCTCCAATTTAATGGACAGCTCTTCAAAAACAAATTTATTCTTGTATCAACTTTTAGATCAATTACTGAAAATATGTAAAAGGTACAGTGACTGTTTTGAGAAATTCTTATCACTTTGTACTGTGAATGAGGTTGCCTATGGAAATAAATGAACTTTTCATATATTTGTGTTGAAAGATAATTTGATTTTAAATCTCCATAAAATACTAACTTGTGTGGAGAACCTTATCACTTTATATTTTGTTTGAGTTATAGTTTATGGAACATAATTTCATTTCTTAAAGTGGTGCCTGTGAAATTTAATCATGTATTTCCGTCATGGAAGGAACAGAAGTTGCGGGGAAGAACTGACAGGTAGGATAACTCTGACATTAACATTTACTTTTTCTGAAAGCACGCTAAGCCCGTGTTTGAAGTTGGCGTTCTGATGCCACATAGTGATCTAAGTTTTCATTTTCACTGTTCATTTCTTAAGAAACATCACTTACTTTGAACTTGGGTTTCAGGCTCTGCTGTGTTGTCAGGCTCTTGAGTTTACCAGCACTTTGAAGGAAGGTGGTGGTCAAATTTTTCAATGACATTAATTGATCAACTGTGATGTCAGAGATCTCATCTGCTTAGAAGGATCATCCTTGGCTGGTGCTGGTAAGAGAGGAAAGTATAGCAGGGAGAACAGCTTTCTTGTGTTTCATTCACTGGTCATAGGAGAGAAGAGAGTGAAGTGCCAATAAAGATAAACTCAACAGCATCCCACAGTGAAAATCGCAGTCACGATCTCTGTCTTGAGTGCCTTTTACTGTCCTAGTGGTTCTCTTCATCCTCTCTGTTCCTAGGCACTGATTGATCTGTAACTATTGTCTGTATCTTGAGCAAGAAAGTGCTGTAATCCACATGTTCTGGGTTGGTTTGCAGCGCCTTAGAAATCACAGTTTCACGAATTCTTTCATTAATGCAGCTAACCTATGTGCCTAACAGGAAAAGGTGAAGAACTTTGCATTTCATTGTTCATTACCTGGGACACTTTGATGCTGGATGAAGTATGTCTCCACTTCATCCCTTTACTTAGTATCTCTAGTCCCTCCTTTCGAGTATATATAATATACCAAAGCTTTAGATTAACCATTCTTATGTCAGTGTTTATGAAGCTGTTACTCTATCATGTTTGAAGCTGTGAGGAATGTAAGAAATGAGCAATTTTGGGGGAGTTACGCAAGCAGTGGTTCGCTTGATATTCTTCTCCTGCTGCTAGAGACAGGTGTGTTTTTGTCCTGGATCTATGAAGCTCCCTGCACTCACATCATTACATTGCAGTTGCTTGGTAGACTGGGAGCTGACTCGTAATGTGAGAAAAGCATTTTCCTACCTATGCACAAGCACACGAACAGCTAAATAAATATTAGCTATTCAGTGTTTTTTTTTTTTAAGTAATTTACAATATATTCTAAGCATGTATTTGAGCAACTTAAAGGAAAAAGCTTTCTAAATATATCAGAGCAGTTCCTCACTGGCAGTGACAGGCTTTAAAGGTTTTCAGAGATCTTAACTTTCCGAGCGACCTGTGAAATACAATAAAACTACCATAAGGTGTCACTGTAACCCAAGCAACTTTCAAGTAAATTGCAAATATTATAGAAACATACCCACTGTGTAAGGTGCAAGAAATTCTCATTCTATTAGCAGTTTCCAATAAAGAAAGCTATTTCTTTCTCTCGTTATTGATTTGCTGTTAACATCCCCAGTCTCTGTTTCTTCACAGAATCACAGGGGCTGGAAGGGACCTGTGGAGGTCATCACATCCAACCCGACTGCTACAGCAGACCCTGACAGGAGGTTGCACAGGAGCGTGTCCAGGCGGGGTTTGAGTACCTCCAAATATTCAGATATGTTCTTTTTCTTGGTTTTGTTTACCGTACCTGTAGTTATGGTTTCTCTTGGAAATACCATGGCTGAAAGAGACTCTCACATAAAATTCACAGTTTGTTTTTTTCTTAGGAAATGACTGGTTACAGACCTCTGCAGTCCCCTCCACTTGAAGAAGCTGACCATCAGGAGTCATCTGAGTGTTCTTGTTCCTTGTGCACAGAGCCCTGTGCTCAGAAGTGCCACATTACAACTCCTGCCTCTTGCTGTGAGAGTTTTATCTGCGTTACTTAATGCTTTGCCTCCTGAGGTGAACTGATAATTTCAGCTTTGAATGACTTTAATTCTGTCTGAAAAGAGGAAAGCAAAATATATCCATTTAGATAAGGACTCTCATGCTTTCTAATTTATATTCTTACAATTTCTTGGAGCACCTAATGTGGCTCTTAGCATTATCCTACCACTACAAAGTACATGTGATAATCTTGTCTGTTATTCTATGTTTCCTTTAATTATTGAGCCAATTTCAACACTTTTTAGTGGAGTAGTTGCTACATTACTTCAAGCAATAAGCAGCAGGGTAGCACACACTTGATAAGATGCCATCAAATCTCTGAGGCAGCTTTTAAACAAGGTCTTGTCTGTGAGAAGAGCATTGTCAAACTTGCTCTGCTTTAGATTTAACCAGTTTTACAAAATGATATTTCTCTAAAGGAATAACAAGAGTGATCCAATAAGCAGCTCACAAGCAACAGGGACATGATAACATGGCCTGAAACAGAGAAGAAACAAATTAAAAATTAACAGTATGCCTTGGACTGGCCAGGCTTTAGGATGCTTTGCACACCTGCGTATGGTTCCATGAGGGACCCCAGCAGCCTTTGGTGAAGGCTGGCCTGAACTGAAAGAATTATCTGCTAATTCTCCAAAACTAGATGGTTAAACTGACTTTCGTAGGGTCTCCTGAGTGTTGTTGTTTTTTCTTGTTTACAAGCCTTAGTAGAAATGTCTGCCTGCAAGGCTGTGTCAGGGACCACAGTCAAAAGAGGTGTGCCTTTTAAATGACACCGCGTGTGTAAAGTCTATGCTATCCAGCCCACGCTGCAAGCGGTAGCAAAATTCTCCCCTTCACTGACAGGTTTTACCCTAAACATTATTTTGAGCAGTCAAAAGCAGAAGCAGTATAAAGATGATTTTTCTAGGCTTTTCAACAAAAGAAACAGCTCTAACAAAGTAGGTAGCCTCCAGGTGTACATTTACGTAACCATGTACAACTGAGAATTGTTTCCTCCTAGCTCCAATGTTTTCTTGCCTGACATTCCTGAGAGGATGCTGCCAACGTGAATCCAGCTATGTGCCCTCCGTGCACAGTTAGAGTCAGCATCTGAGTTTTCTTAAAACTCATTTTATTCTTGAGCACCCATAATGATAGCAGGTGAGCCCCAGCAGTTGCTGTCTACGTGCTGGTTTTATGTCTTTAAAATACAGTTTTAATATAGCCTTGCAAGAGCCTTTCGTGATATGAGTCTGTAGTTCCAGTTATAGCTACAGTCTGTATGTAGCCAGGAGTAATTTTAATTTCACAAAGTATTTATTTGCATATGCAGACCTGGATTGTGCTCAGATGGTGCTCCAAAATACGTACAGGGATTGCGCAGAGGTTGCAATTGCCTCTTCCAGCGCATTCTTGTTGGGAGTTGTATGATGCTTCGTGGAAAGTGTCTATCAGGAGCAGAGCCCTGCAGAGCTCTTTGGACCTGCATCAGCTGCTTGGAATCAGGGTCTTTTGCCAGCCTTTGAACCCAGAGAGGGGGAAGCAAGAAGCTGTGCTGCTCCTGTTTAGAAGCCTCCCTGCATAAATGTGAGTTAGCAACACTGTTGCTTTAAGCCTTACAGAAAAGATTCTGTTCTGCAGAACTGCAGGCAGTGGAAGGACTGCAAACCTTGAAGGGTAGGGAGAGGTGACAACTGCTGTCAGAAATGGACAGTTGTACTAGAGGTGATGGGTGCAACACAGAAGCAGAGAATGGTTTGAGTTGAAAGGGATCTTAAAGCCCACCCAGTTCCAACCTCCTGTCATGGGCAGGGCTGCCACCCACCAGATAAGGCTGCAGAGGGCCCCATCCAACATGGCCTTGGGCATCTTCAGAGGTGGGGAGAGAGCTGGCCATGAGGGGAACATACCCACCCACTTGATGCAAAGCTCTGGGGAAGCTGCTTGAAAGTTTTCCAACTGTATGAAAGACAGATTTCACAGTAAATGCAACTAATGGGTGTGTGGATAGGTGAATAAGGCATTAAATGTAGAGCACAGCTTCTTTCTGTTGTGTGCTCCCTTTAACTGAAGCAGGACCAGAAGACCGGGATGGGGGCAAATTAAAAGCTTCTGCTCTACAGCTTCTTGAAAAGATGGATTGAAAACCACTTGTCAAGATGAGCAAGCTCTCTTACAAGGCAAATACATATTTACTGAAATGTAAGACAATTTCATTATATGCTTCTACATGTGCGTATCTCTACAAATATTTATACCTTGTTTTATGGATCCCCTTTGAAAAGTGGAGACCCAGCTTTGCTGTGTATGGGTGATTTTGGACCCATGCTCCCAAAGCAATGACCTTGCTACCCTGCCAGAGGTGCATGGGCGGTAAGTGCTAGGAGATGGCCTTGCAGCCTCATTCCCCCTTTGCTCGCTGTGGGAGGGCTGTTTTCTAGACCCAATGTGCTGGTTACCTGCGCTGAACCTTGAGTTTTCCAAAGCTGCTGTAGAGTGTGTCAATTATTCAAGAGGCAGAAAGAAACAGTAACCAGTTCTGCAGCAAGAGAGATTCCAGCCTAGTAAAGCCTCCCCAGTTCCCAGGCTTTCCCCTCCCTGATGAGTGAGGCCCGCTCTGTTTGACTCCAGCCAACATGGAGGCTTGGTGAGGCAGCATTTCCACAGGAATTTGCATGAAACGCTTCTTTTCCTTGCTAGGAAAGGCATGTTACCATCACAAATTCAGGCTGAGTTGAAACGGTTCACCTTTTCAACCACACTGTGTTTTGAAAATACACTGCGTTTAATTCACGGCCAGTCTTTCGCTGCTTGATTGAACCACGTGATCTTAGCAGTCTTTTCCAACCTTAACGATTCTATGAATCAAACAGCACTGTGGCAGTGCATCTCTGTGCCTGGCAGTCCAAGGGGCTGGCAGCATCCATGATTAATGCTAGGGCCGGGACAGAGGCCACAGGTCCTTCAGCAGATGCAGAAGGCAGCGGCCCACCTGGGTTGGCGTAAATATAGAATGAGCGCCGCAGCCTGCCTTCCCCTTGCTGCAGAAAGGGCTCATCAATTTTTAATAAACTTCTTGCCTTTGCTGTAGATGAGGTCCTGCTCCTGAACCGGTGTGACCTGAGGACAGGTATTGTGCCTGTTACTATAGCACCACCTCGCACAGCTCTCGGTATGGAAGGAGGGAGGGAGGGAGGAGGGAGGCAGGCGGAGAGGACGAGCCCTGGCAAAGCAGCGAGAGGTGTACAGATGCACGGTGGAGCTGCTGCAAGTGTGCTGCTGACACCCTGAGCACTGCCAGGGGTTCCACACTACCGCTCTCCTAAACTGGCCTGCTGGCTTGGGAAGATCTGCTCTGAATTCTTCTTTCTGTTTTCCTTTCTTGAGCAACTGGTTGACATTTTAGGGGTCACCGAGGGGACCGGCGCAGGCTCCTGAGTCTGGCATCAGGAAATATGTCAACAGAACTGAGCGCTTGTTAACGACAGGAAAAAGGACAACATGCCTTTCAAAGGGTTTGATTCGCTGAAGGAAAGGTTTTTTAACCCAGGAAAGGAAGAGGTGAAGAACACCGTTAGCGACTCACTGGGGAATCTGCGAAGGTAAAATCTGATAGCAAATTCCTTGCGAGATCCATTGGTTACATTGCTTAAAGAGAAATGAAGTATCAAAAAATCTCTGAATGTTAAACAATTTGGAGTTGCAAAATTACTGAATCCCCACACTGTGAGACGCCCTGCTGTGCAAAGCAAACTGTGCCAGAGGAGTGGCATGGAGCAGCGTGTGGCTGCAGATAAGATAATATTTATACCGAGCAAAGGAGAGGTGAAAATAAGTTATGAAATACTATTCTGATGTTACAAAGCGCAAGAAGAAGGGTTTTAACTAAGAAAACCTCTAGGTGATTAAATGTGAATTATTCTGTTTATCTTGCATGAGAAAAAATGATTATTTAATGGGAACTAACTGTCCCAAATTATGTCACTCTTGAAATCAGATTTAACATTCCTAAATTACAGAGGAATTCTGGAGAATCTTTTTTTCACTTACTAACATGATAAGAGAAAACAAATAGAAGTAAAGTACCAAGTTCAGCTGCGTGTGTGCGTGCGTGTGTGCTTATTGAGAGTAACAAAGGAAAACAGGAGCTGTTTGCAAAGGGAGGGTCAAGGATTTATAACTTAATCTGTCAGTTTACAAGACAGTAAACCAAGATTTTTGGTTTGGAATAAATGAAAGCACAGTGTAACAGATGACTAGTTTGGTCAATAAGACTGTTGGTTTAAAGGGAAGCTTATTTCTATTGGAGTGGCTACTGGCAGCACTGAGATGTGCAATGGACAGCTGAGAAGCAGGGAGCCTAGTGGCATTGCTGGCACGCTTCATGTGTTATTCATCTTTGCAAAGGTCAGGGTACTATTTGAATCCTACATCTTTTTAGTGTTTTTCTTTTGTGTGTAACTTCTTTCTTTCTCTTGGGAAAGTTATTTTGAGTCAAGGTATGGTTCTTAGCACATCCAAACATGCATTTGATCACAAGAAAATGTACAATAATTCATGTGTACCATACTACATTGTGAATGTATGGAAAAACATGCATGTATACTTTGGTGGAACATTCATCATTATGTTGCCAATTACACTGTTCTATACCACCTGAATGGAGTTATCTCCTTCCACATAGTTGCAATGAGTTGTTCATTCAGTCACACATTCTAAGCACTATGGCCTTCCTTTGCTAACTTACCCAAATACTTTCAGGATTTGTATCTAGTGTGCTAGTATGAAGGTTTTGCCATGTGCCCATGGCACAAAGGCTTTGGATGATCTGGATCTCTTTCCTCTTGTAGCTGTGAACCAGGGATGCCCTGCTAATACCACTGATACATAACTTCATCAACTTTACTGCTGAATTAGAGCAGAACAGATCACAGAATGGCCTGGGTTGAAAAGAACTGCAATAATCATTGAGTTTTAACCCCCCCTGCTATGTGCAGGGTCGCCAACCACCAGAGCAGGCTGCCCAGAGCCACATCCAGCCTGGCCTTGAATGCCTCCAGATTTGGGGCACCCACAGCCTCCTTGGGCAACCTGTTCCAGTGTGAACAGATCTGAGCTGACATACAAGAAAGTTTGTGGAACTTCCTCATTTTCTGTGTTAAACACAGGTTTGCCTGTGCCTTTTCTAAATGTATGGGTCAATGGAGGAAATACTCCACATGATGCAAGTTTTCTTACTGTGTCTGCAATCAGACCCAAGCAAGAACTGTCAATTTTAGCAGTCTCTTAGGAAATGTGCAGTCACATCCAAAGTTTTCTGAAGGAAATCGTGTGTTTTTAACTTGAAGTTAACTTTCCACAACTAGCCTATGAAAAAGAGCGTATGCTTATATATTATGTGATGGTACATGTGATACATGTGTGTATTTACCAGTTGTGACCCCAGCTTTGCTAATTGACTCTAATATGTTGTAAACAAAAAAGAATTTGGCTTCACTTCTCACATTTATAGGTGGGTAGTTGTATTAGCACAGGTCAGGTCTCCGAGGATGCATTGGCTATAGTAACCAGCAAAACGTCTAGAAAAAGTACTCCTAGCTTTGATAAATATGATGAGCCTAAATCTTCCTCCTACATTTCATCAAACAAGAGAGAAGATCCAGCAACTGATGTCTGGCAAGGCCATCAACCAGCTCCTGTCTTCACAGCAATTGCTTGAAGATTGATGCATTCTGATGCTCAAGCATGTGACAGAAGTGACGCACTGCCTCCCCAAGGGTGGTTAGCAGCCTCCAAATATTTTGTGGGTGCTGCAAAACAGGACTCTGCCCCCAGGAGTTTGCCTTGTGGTAGCTGAGGGGCTGGTGAAGGGCAAAGGAGATGGAACAGGAGAGACGTAGGAAGCATCCTAACTCTGGGCATTTTCTTCTGTAACACCTCAGAGAAATATCCATTTGTTTTTAGAGTACCACCAGCTGGAATAAATTCACCAGAGGCAAAAGGGCACTTGTTCTTAATTAGTTAAATACAGCAGGGCAGTGAATAAAATTGATTTAGAGGATTCAAGACCTGAGTAAGTAACGCTGGAGATCTGAGAACACTTTAAGTTTCCCAGAAGAGAAAACTTTTTCTGCAGAACTTCTTGACAGGTACAAACACTTTTGGCCATCTGTGTGCTCAGTGTATGCAAAGAAAAAAATGTTAATTCAAGGCTCTTCTGATCTTGAGGATTTCAGAAGTCCTTGGTCAGCTAGTGACAGCAATGGGCTTACCACACCTGCCAATAACAACATGGTTAATGTGAGAATTAACATGGGCTGTGTCACACAGCTGCTGACTGTAGTCTGGGCCCTGCTAGCTGTAGCACCTGCAGACCGCCCTTAATGAATTAGACATCCCAGTCAGCTAAAAACTGCAACCTGAAGCTGCTTGGTCTACTCTTGTATTCTGCCAGGAATGCTGCACTACTGCAACAATGTCAAGATTTGCTGTAGACAATCATCATGCAAACAAATCTGCAGAGTAGATGCGATCTCAAGCGCTTGTTTCTGCCTTTGGAGAAATAATATTTTTCAATAGCCTGTGTGTAGGATTCTGAAATTACATCAGGATCATCAATAACTGTTGTGTGCGGTGACTGTTGTATATATAGGTGTGAAGTTTGAGCACCTGTGGCTCTGCTGGCTATGAAAGCGTGTAGTCTGGTAGAATTAATTTGATAAAGTGTTTTAATACATGGCAAGAATTAATGTTTTCTCCTTCTTGTGGAATCCATGGGGTTTTAACCAAATTAAATGTAATAATAGATGAGGGCTGCTCCAAAAATAATGCCTTCTATTTTATTCTGTTTGCCCATGATGCCAGAGGTGAATATTGGTGGTATGGCAATAGAACCTTTCCACCAATATTCCTTTATGTTTTGTTGCCATGCAATAGATGGCAGCAGAAGGGCAGTCTGACAGAATGACCTCTGACGTGGAAGAGTGGATGAAGCAAAGGTGTGTAGGTGAACTGTTCAGCGTGAAAAATATTGTACCCCTTGATATTCATTGACACTGGCTGAATGCTTATGGAGACCAAACAGTTGATCTGGGCACAGTGGAAGTTGGACTGCGTGGGCAATGTTTTCCTAGCAATGGTGTCAGGATAGCAGCTGTAAAGTCACCTTTGCCGATGCAGATCTTGACAAGTACAGCTTGCAGGCTTTTGTCCACGGCTGGTGAAAGTGCACTGCTAATGATGGTGACTATGCTGAAAAATAGTGTCTTCTAGCTGATAATTTTCTCTATTAGATATTGTTGTTATGCTCTTTGTATCAGTTGTGGTTTCCTCAGGAATAAATAGGAGGCATTACTTTCAGAGCAACATGTGCAGCTCTATCCCACTTACGTAATTAGAAGAACAACTAATTCCTATGCTAAAATGCATAAATTACAGATTGGTAAATGTGTAGGTATACTATGAATTTTATTTATGACTGATTAAGTTTTAAAAACTTTCATTCTTCCAAAACTTTACATGACTGAGAGTTAAAGCTCTTCAGAAAAGAAGAGAAAGAATGTGAGATGCAGAAATGTTACATGCAGTAATTATAATATTTGGGTATGGAATATAGACGTAGATATCTTCAAACAGCCAAGATGTTCTTGTGTGACAAGTGTTGCGTGTTTGCTGAAATCATCAGAGGGATATAAATACCAAACAAACATCTTCCAGCAAAATGTTCTCAGCATTATTCAAATAATTAAAGAGAAGACTGTTTCTGAACAGCTCTCTTCTAAACTATTAGTGTACAGCAAGGAAAATTTCAATGGCACTGCCAAATGATACTGATCAGCTGTAGGATCTATTTCTTATCCTTTATGGATTTGTCATACCTCCATTCTACATTTACCCTGTTCAGTGACATAAGGCCAAAGCGCAAGGTCAAACACAGACTGTGTGAATGCTTGCACTGCTTACACTTTGCTCCAGCTTCATTTTTGGATTTGGAACTGTTTTCTCTGAGACACCTCTGCTATAGTAGAACGGTTAATGTTAAGCTTTCAAGATACCAAATATTCTGTGACTATCTGAGGTCATGAATCAGTTCTCAATCTGCTTTTATTAGTGAGTACTTGAATACAGTAGCAAAACAATTCCACTGCAGAAGTGATGCTGGACAATAGTGTCCTGCATTAACACTGCCAACAGTGAATTTGGAGTCAAAGGATGTTTTCATGCCTATGTGAATTGACAGCTTGCTGAAAGCATCCAGAAAGGAGCAGATGTTTTTGCTTTGGATGATATGTCCAATCTTTGCCAGCTGTCCAGAAATGATGCGCCAATTAAAGCATAATCTCTCTCATATAAACAGAGTGATAAAAGTACAGAAAAATGAGGAATTAAGCTTTAATTCATTCAGTATCTTAGTTTACTCTGGAGTAAGACAATAAAATTACTATTTTTTTTTTTTTTTTTTTTTTTTTGTTAATAGATCTTTTGAGTTAACAATAATAGCTCTAGAAATAATTGTCTTTTTTTTTCCTGCCTTCTTCATTTTTGACATTTTATATGGTTTACACCAGCTGTCATGAGCACATAGAGCAGGGAAAACACAGGGTCTTTCTTTTAAAGTGCCTCGCCGTGTTTCTGTCTGTACTCTCATTTCACCAACAGTGCTGTCTCTTTGCCGATGGATTGCAAGATCTCAGTCACCTTCAATAATACCACAATCCTATCATGTTTCCTGTGTTACCTTGCTTTAATGCAAAGTCCTCACTCCAGCCTAAACCAAGCCGATTTAACTTCACAATTAGCACTGCTCTGAGCAAGGGGTTAAATCAAATAACCATTTCAGTTCTGGTATTTCTTGGAAGTGTGAACTGATGTATTCTATCGTGCTTCTTTTTTTTTTTTTCTTGTTGCTGAGAGTAAAACTAGATTAACAGTTTTATTATACGATGTAAAAAAACAGTAATACAGCAAATGATGCACCTGAAGCTAGAAATGGAGCTTGGAAGTTATAAATGCTAACAATTTAAAGTGAAATTTCCTATTTAAATCCCCATGCAGCAGCTCAGGAAGCTATAGATATCATCTGTATTTGCAAAACCTTGAGTATGGAATACCATCCATTAGGCTATGGGCAGTACTTTAGACACAGAGGAATTGGAGAAGGCTGTGATTAAACACAAAACTTTTCTTGAAAGAGCCAGCCAACCACTGTGTAGGTTGCTAGGTGTAGCCCAACCATACGTGTTCTGGAAATATTTTTTAATAGTCGATTATTATACGGAAGACTGAAGTGCATTAGATTTTAGATACATTTCAGACCAGATATGTGAAACAAGGAAATAAGTTACTCCTTACCAGAAAAGATTGAATTAAATCATTTCATCATCTTATACACCAAGCCAAGCTTCTTTTATATTAAGTATGCGCTCACATTTTGCTAGTGGTGAGAGCACCTCCATGGCGGACACAAAAAAAGCTGGATCCTGCACCCACTAATTCACAGCAGTGCCAAAGCTAAAAGGCTTCCTAACACAGCTGCTGATCAAGGCTTTCCTTTAGAGAACACTTAACCCTAATCTTGCAGGTGGTGTTCAGAGGGCAGCCATGCATTCAGAGCGTGCTAAAGTGTTTTGGCATGTTGGAAAGCCTGTATATGCATTTAAAACAAAGGCATTAGAAATTAATGTTAGGAAAGGAAGTGTTTAGCTCCAGTTTAATGGTGCGTCTTCAGTTCCTTCTGATCTCATCTTTCCCACCAGAGACATTCCCCATTCCTACAGCACAGGGTGTTGGTACTTCCAATCGAACTGGGATACCAAATAATTTTTAATTGCTTTAGCACAGGAAAATAGTTCCATAAGTGCAGGAAATAGCAATGGGCAACTGTTGTACTGATGAGACCATCTGTATTGTAAGATGTTGCTACAGAGTGCAACTTGGGCTGATGGCAGCAGCTGTTTGCCCTCCAATGGGCCCTCCCTCTCCCTATGGTTGGTGCAGTGAGAGCAGGCTGACATGCATAGGTACCATTTACTCCTATTCCTAAGTAAACAGAAAAGTCCGTGTCTCTGGACCTTCCCTCTGTATTCTCCCCAGTTGCACTGCAGTGCCCACACAAAATTTGCTCCCAGGTGAAGCCCCTTCAGCCTCTGCTGCTGAGGGGCAGTGAGCAGAAAGTTGCTTAATTTTCAGATCTCACTGAACGTTAATTATTTTGAAGAAAAAGGTAGAATGCTCAACAACAGGAATTGAGCTTTGTAATGAGCTAACTTCTTGTGGTGAGTGATATTTCACAGCAGAGGGGTTACTTGTCATCAAATCCCTTTGGACAGAGAGAGCCTGGGCCTGGCTCTTAGAATCATGGAATTGCTTGGGTTGGAAGGAACCTGAAAGATCATCTAGTTCAAACCCCCTCTACCAAAGGCAGGGTTGGTGACCACTAAATGAGGATACCAGGTCAGGATGCCTAGGGTCTCATCCAGCTTGGGCTTTAACTCTTCCAGGGATGGGGCACCCACAGCTTCCCTGGGCAGCCTGCGCCAGGGCTTCACTGTCCTCTCAGGGAAAAATTTCCCCCAATATCTAAACTGAACCTGAGAAAAAATATGCTTCATGCTGTATTTGCCCTTTCCTTGAAACTCGCTGCCAGTCTGTTCAGTGGATCTAATTAGAAGATGGATTTCTTCATGTGTATATTGACGTTGTTAACAACCAGCAGGATTTATCACAGCAGAGCTCATCAGACCTTTCATAACGATGCTTGTGAAAAGCCCACAAGCACTTCTATGCAAGCTGTCCAGCCAAATGTCTGGGATTTTGGAACTTTAGGGGTTGTTCGTGACAAAAATACAGGCTGTGCATGCCCGGCATGATCTCATCAAAGCGCCAAGAGGCAAACCCCTCACAAAGAAGTGCTTTAAAAGCTGACTGCAGCACCTAATTGTCCATCTATATTTCACGGTAAGGCACTTCTATTTTCTCTTGCTTCTTCTGTTTAGGAAAATCGATGGCACCAACATCGAGGAGGATCACATTGAGCTGACAGAAGAGGGGAGGCCTGTGCAGGCCAGCGCCCGCAAGCCACAAGTGTGTGACTGTTACTGCTGCGGGCTGCCCAAGCGCTACATCATCGCCATCATGAGCGGCCTGGGCTTCTGCATTTCCTTTGGAATTCGGTGCAATCTGGGTGTTGCCATCGTGCAAATGGTGAACAATAGTACTGTTTATATTAATGGCAAACCAGAGCTGCAGGTGAGAAGCCATCCTCTATCTCCTGTTCTGACCTGTCACCTTTGAGAATTGTTAAGTGCCACGTATCGAAGAACAGTGCATGTAGAGGTAAAAAACTGAGGCAGGAAGACATGCAAGTCTGGATTCCTACAGATGCGTAGATTCTTCATGCTTAGTTAGGTCTCTAAGTCACACAAAAAATCCGTGTGATATGAGCATTTGCAATGACATACGGAAAGTAAATAGCAGAAATGAGAACTGAGTTGGCTTGTGTGCTTATCAAGTTTCCAGTCTTTCAGCTGCAGACAGATTTTGTTTCAGCTGCAGAAGTCTTTGCCATTTACTGTCTTTCAGGGGAATGCACCCTGATGCTGCTACAGAAGGAATTATTAATCGTTCTGTGTACCACTAATCCCTATTCAGATCAGTGGATGAATTTCAGGACTTTAAAGTAGGCAATAGGGCAACAGTTATTTGCAAGTTATTGACAGTGGGGAATGCTGTGTAGAGGTAACTGGAAATAGGGGCCAAGCTATCTCAAATTTGTGATGGATGGCACATGGTTCACAGAAGATGCCTACAGACTTTTAAAAATGCACCCAATGAACTGTATGTTCAAACCATATCTAAGTTTCTCCAGTCCTGCCATGGCACAGGGCTGGGTTGTCATTTATACATGTGTGCATGTACAAAATTTGCTTATTGTTGGATTCTGTTGTAACAGGTTATTCACAGGAATACTGACTCTTACCTGATGTTTCCTTAAGTTTCCCTTGAGATAACACCACCAAGTTGTTCTGTCTGGGCATGAGCCTCTCCTGATAATGGAAATTTCTCTACGTTTCATGATGTCTCAGCCCTTACAAATTAACACTAAGAAGCTAAGTAGAAAATTAGATATTTTGAAAACTGAATTGCAACTCCATATACTTCTTTCTATACACACGAAGTAATATGAAAAAAGGAGATGTTAGGGCCTACCTGTTTAGTTTTCGTATTTCATGTTTTAGTGACGATTTTAGTTCAGAATATAAAACTATCTGTGCTGTGATGCTTAACCACCTTTCCTTGCCATGTGATTAGCCCCAAAATAATCATTAAGCAAAACAACCATGGTTTCTCTTTTCTTCAGAATAGCTCTTCTGAATTGAAGGTTCAAGGAGAAAACGTTGACAATGACCTTATGTCAGTGTGATTATACTGAGTCAAGCCCTGTTTAGGTGTTCAAGAACAATGAGCAGGAGGGGCACCTTGGGTCACCTTTTCTTCACTGCTCTATGTTTTTTTTTTCTGGGTTTTGACTATCCCTCTTCTGAACAGAGTATGTTAAAACAGACTCATCAGAGAAATGCCCTTAATCAGGAAGATTTGAGGAGACTGAAACTATTTGGTATTCAAGGATGACATGTAGAAATATTTCTCTTAGCTCTAGAAATTATTGGCTAGGAACCATCTGTGACCTGCTTGGGGATGGTATTCTGTATCCAAATCCAGCTCTATGATTGGCATCACTTTTTATAGAAGATACACTAGTCAGCTAGCGTTAACCTAACTTTTAGATTACTTCTTCAGATGTTACCTTTCTCCCCATTCTTCTATAAACGTCTTCTGCTCCCATGCTACTATTTAATGTAGATGCTGGATGGTCAGTTGTACCTTGATGAGACAAAGTCCAGCTTGAGCAATCTTGTTGAGTAAATGGATGTGCCCATTGAAAGGCAACAGATCCTTCTTATATCACCAAGCAGGCCTGAAAACAAAGTCTTAAAGACTAAGCAGCACAAAGGGAAGCAGTGGCAAGAGCCAAAGATGAAGGGCCAGCACCAGCTGCCTTTTGGTTGAACTCTTTTCTCTTAGTCACCCTGACAGAGCAGAAGCAGTAATTCTACCTATCAATTTGGCAGCATTTTGCCGTGAATGGAGAAGATTCAACCTCAGTAACACCAGTGCAAAGAGATTATCTTGATCTGTAGGATGGGGTGACTTCTGTGAGACTTGCAAATAGTGTTTACCTAGTAATAACTGTGCTTCATTTTACATTTTTTCTGTTTCTTTTGCAGAAAGCTCAATTCAACTGGGATCCAGAGACAGTGGGACTCATACATGGCTCTTTCTTCTGGGGTTACATTGTGACACAAATTCCAGGAGGTTTCATTGCAAACAAATTGGCTGCTAACAGGTTAGAAAACAGTAAGCAAGAGTTAAGCTTTACAGCTTTATGAATGTCTGTTTTGTACTGCTTACTAACACAGTGAACAAAGGTGCTTAAAGAACTTGAAGCTGAACTTGCAGTATTCATGTCTATAACCAAAAAAGGAGCTAGACTTCTGTAATGGGTCTGATTTCTGCTTCTTCCAAGTGACTTGCTCATCTCAAATGTTTACGCATTTATTGTTTTCTAAACTACAGTGCTTTCTGGAGGATTTTTGGAACGCACACCTGATGTTTGAGATCATGCTTGTAGCATTTGTCTAACAGAAGAGCTTCAGTGCTTTTAACTCAATTTACCAAATTATTTTTTTCCAAATAAATTTGACTTTTCTCCTTTAAAATTTCCCTGTGGATTGAAATTTTCCAGAAATTTTAAAGCTAGGCATTTAGAGTCCATTCTCTTGCACATTTCCATGAAATCAACAGTTATGCTGTCTGCGGTTGGATACAGTAGTGATGTCTGTAATTAGGATTGCCCAGAACTTTTCTAATAGAGCCTCATGATTTCTGTATGACAAAGTCTGAACTTCTACACAGATTATTTCCATGTCCATTTTGTTTGTGGGCTGTTTCATTGTTGTTGTTGTTTTTAATTCTATTTTTGAAAATGACAATAAGAAAAGCTGCTGATTTTGCCAAAGACAATTTTGTTTTTAAGCTTAACTTCAAAAAGTCTGCAGAATTTGGAATATGATCCCAGCTGAAACAAAGAGCTTGTCTGAAGACAGCTAGTTGTAAATGAACTCATGAGATGTGCATGTGAAAGACGTTTGAGATCTACAGATGAAAAAGAGGGTTAGCACTCACACTTTTCTTTGCAAAAAAGATTTGAAGCCATCTCAAATAAAAGTACTTCATGCTCTGTGCTCTTCAGAGAGTTACAGGGGTTTCAAGGCTGTCTAAGCATTCTCCTCACTGCTGTCTCTTATGGAAATGATTCCAGGATGGAGTCAAACCATAGAATTTTCCAGAAGTTCAGCCCCAGCTCTGCTCTATCTGTAACAAAAAGTTACTCTGAGTTCAGTTTGCACTTCTTCAACACTACTAGCAGCCTCAGTTCTTTATTTCTCTACCATTTGAGGTGCCTAAGCAGGATGCTTTTCATTCTGTTGAATAAGCCAAACAAATTAGCTAGGTTTAATCATTTTCCCTCTCTTTCCAGCCTTGCCATGAAATTTGGCAGCTGAAGGGCTCAAAAACACAGATGTGTGCACTGTTGGCTGAATAATTCAGTATATTATTAATTTGGCTTTTGTTACCTTTATATTTTTTGTTAACATAAAATCAACCAAGTATACCCAATAGCTCAACATATTCTATCAGCTAACTACTTCCTTAGGTATCTATCATGCATATGCACAGGAAGCTATACTTCTGTCTCCATTATACTTTCAGACTCATTTTGATTCTACAATATGACACCACATTATAGATTTAATTATGACTGGGTTTGGGAATAGAATCTGCTTGAGGAAGAACACCCCCAACCAAAAGATAAACTAAAAGAGTATTCCTGTTTGTAATAATAATAGGACCACAGATCTGACTAACTCTACGTTTTTCTTTTATTCTTTGTTCTCCCTACCAGTTTCTACTTGGGTAGATCTAGCAGTATTTCCCTTTCAGAGGGGTAACATCTGCTTGCTAACACCACAGGGCAGGAAACAGGCAGAGCTGGGGCCAACCTGTGAACCCACCTCCTCTAGAAAGACAAATGTTTTCTGTCTCACAACTGTGCTCAGTGATGAGATGAGACTCTGCCCTATTACTGTGCTACAGATTTAGGTATAGAGTCTTTTGTTACCTGTTTAAATTCTGCTCACCACTGTGGAACCTTGAAGATACATGGAAACTCTCCCCCTCCTCCCCCCCCCCCAGCAAGCATTATTGCAAATATTTGTGTATAATAATGTGGCATTCAAACAGATCTCAGAACAGAGGAAAATATTAAGTGCGTTATGCTTTTGCATTAAAACCACCTGACACCAAGTAAGTTGCTTTATGCATGTCCAAATTTGTATATATCTATGTTCCATCAGAAAGTTCACTGACTATTTAGTGACTGTGTTCTTTTGATTTACTGCTTATCCTCCAACATGTGTCCTAACAAAATTTCTTGATTCTTTGGTTGTGATGAGGAGACGTGAAACATAAAGCACCCCCTGGTATCAGCCTTTGGTAATGGCACACTGCTGGGCAGAGGAGTCTGTTGCTGGAGAAAACTGTTTTGATGCTGAGTAATGATGCTGGCAATGGGTCACAGTGGTGAGGAGAAAAGAATACATCAATGAATTGAAAAGAACTGGTGTATTCTTGTCCATGGTGGAGACCAGCTTCTTTGGGATTGAAGGCTGGAAACTGCTGGAAAGATGCTGGCTGGCTATTTGCAGAAACACTGCTTAGCCTGTTAGTAACAAAAGAGTAGCTGGTTCCAACACAGTGTAAATGATGCATTTACAACCTGGGTGTGTTAGGAGTTGGCATTAATTGAAGTAGCAAAGATTGGAAACTCAATCCTGAGAGCTAGCTGGTTGGGTAGTAAAACATGTTCTCTTTCTTATGGCTTATTCATTCTTCCACACTCTATAACTTACTTTTCTACTTAATGTGCCGTAGTTCACTGAGATGGCCAGTAGCTCTAGGATAACATAACCAATAACTCTACTCATGCCAAGGAAGATGCAAGGTGCAAAACTCTTCACTGACCATAACAGAACTCTCAGTGATGCTCATTTCTTAGCTAAATGCTTATTTGGCTTTGAAAGCAGCCTCCTAAATGTCAGGACGCAATCACAGGCTTTGCATACCACTTCAGATTTTCAGACTAGTTTCCATACACATTCATTCCTTTGTCACTTCCCTCTGTCAGCTTTGCTCAGTTTCTTTGCTTTTGTGTTCATGTGTTGATTGCTTTCCTGTCACTCGGGTTATGAGCTGTCCAGGCATGAGCTGCTGCTTTTGTCAAGAAGTGTACAGGATCAGAAAAAACAACGTTGATCTCTGACTGTGGATTCTTTGGGCTATAATGCTATCATTAATTCCTCATAATTAACAATCATAAACTTGGATTTAAAATATGAAGTGATGTATATTTCCTGTGAATGTTTTTTTTTAAAAAAAAAAGAAGAAGAAAAATGTGAGATCAGAAGGTTTTAAAAGTTTATGAATATTTTTCAATGGAAGATGATAAATAGCCATACATAGCGAGATCTGCATATGTCTTTGGCAGAAAAATCAAAAAGGAGAAAATATTTCTGCTGCCATTATTTCAGTTTAAATATCTAATATCATTCCTATATCAGAATGAAGCTTAATGTGTCATCTGTCATTTTTTAAATGGCACAGGCATAATAAGCCAATTCAGAACTGTTCAACACCAGTGAGTTTGAGCAGTTTGAAAAGGAATGTGAACTGCGGTCCTCACAGAGCAGTTGCTGCCAGCTAGCATCAGTGTAGCCAGGAGCTGAGGACCTCCGCCACAAGAGAGAGATGAAACTCAGGTGTGACCCTCAGTCTTGGGATAAGACAAGGCTGTTCTGATCCAACCTCCCATCTTCTAATATGCTGTGATTCCCAGGGCCGTCAGCCAGTGCAGCCTTCTATCTGCAGAATGAACTCTTTCTGCCAGTTCTAATAGTTTTCGGTGGTGTGAGAGAATCTGAGAGGGGATCCTCCTGCATATCATCTTCCACAGATGTTGGAGTCATGAACTCTTGATATTCAGAATGTGGCAGATACTGAACCCTGTCTGTGGTACAAAAAGGGAACCTGAGACTTCGATCAGCTGGGTGAAAAAAGTATGCAAACCTGCAACCATCTCGTACTGAAATGACTGTGCTGTGGCCTAGCTGTCCATCATGTCTATCGTCACTGTTGTTTATTATTAATGAAATGCATTAAGTTTGCACTGCTCTTCAGTTAAGCTGAGAAAAGCCCGTGTCTCTACTGGGAAGAGCTCCCATAGACTGTGGGGAATGAGACAGACCCAGCTCTGAGCGTATGCCCAGGGCCTCTGAGTGTTCTGAAGTTTTGAGGATGTTTCTGGATCTGTAACTACCACAGAGTTTTCTGCTTCCCATTTTTCTAATGGATGGTAACCTCTGGAAGGCTACAAAAGATTTCCCAAAGGCTCCAATGCATGGAGAACCCTGGCTGACTTGCACCCAGCTGCAGGAAGTGTTCTTCCCAAGCAGGGAACAAAATGTTCGTATCGTGTCTTTCCCAGAAGCTCTCTTGAGGAAGCGCCCCTTCTATGCTACAGTTGGAAAGAACGCTTTTATCTATTATTTAGAGAACTGATGTTGGGAAGGAGTTGATCTCAAACTGTGCTGTTATGAGTTTAAGCTGCAGGAAGAGGAAATAATCAGCACGCTCCCACATTTCAGTAAGGCACTCGAACAAGACTTTACCTGATTTAAGTCAAACCCTACTGATACAAAAGAATTCAAGTACTTCCCAGAATAGGAATAATGCTCTCAGTTCAGGGCTTGTGTAAACAGCTTAGCCACCAGCAACTACACCGAAGTCTCATCCTCTGAGATAGAGGAATAAAACAAAACCTTGGTTTAAATATGCATAAAACTCCTATCTCATTCAGGAAAGAAAATGTAGTGACATTATGTGTATTTACCCCTTTTGCCAATAAGGTAAATTTACAATTATCTGTGACTTGGTGACTTGGTGGGCAGCGGAGAAGTTGTCTTTGAGATTGCACCTGAGAACAACGTTGCTTCTGAAAAGCAGATAATAATTACATTCTCTTTTGTGATACTTTTTTCAAAGGGTGTTTGGAGCAGCTATTTTTCTAACATCTACACTGAACATGTTCATCCCTTCTGCAGCAAGAGTACATTACGGCTGTGTGATGTTTGTAAGAATTCTGCAAGGTCTGGTAGAGGTAAGAACATTCACCACTTTCATTTGGGGAAATTTGGTTTTTAAAAAAAGTTTGAAACATTTTGGTCAGGTTTTCTGATCTATCTACAGTTCTACGTGTTACCCCCTTTTTTTTTTTTTTGGCATTGGTATTTTTACAGTGATGATTTTTTTTCTCATGTTGATTCATGTTTTTAAATTTATCTTAAAAGGAGCTTAAGATAATAGAGTAATAGTGCTGCAGATAGACCTAGTTCTGCCTATTTAAGCCATCCACTGCATGCACTAAGCAGCATTTTTAACCCAGGACACCATATCATTTAAGTTAGTTTCCATCTTCACACTCCCCAAAGGAAATCTCTCCCAGGCTTATTTTAACCCTTCCGATGTAGTGACAATGAGCTAGAAAGGTTAAGTCAGCAACTGCTTAAAGTAGGAATGCAGTGAAAGCAAACCATATGATGTGTGAAATGTCTGCCAGGGTGTCACCTACCCAGCCTGCCATGGGATGTGGAGTAAATGGGCTCCTCCACTGGAGAGAAGCAGGTTGGCAACGACATCGTTCTGTGGTAAGTTGATAGGCTTATGAGTGTACTGACATATATATTATTCATTTTATGGTTCACTTTTTTTTTTTTTTTTTTTTCATTTGCTCAGTCTTTAAGTGTTCTATCTGCTGTATGCATTGAACTGACTATTTAATTAAGCATGCACTTAACAACTATTTTAAACAACTTGAGGGCTTGGTCAGTCTTGTTCTTTGTTCTGGGTCTTTCCTACTACTGGCAGACAGACTTCTAGAAGGTGGCTTGCAGGAAATTTCGGAAGGCTTTGGGAAAACGAATCCAGTGGAAAGATGGGAGAAATAAAATTCTTTCATTCAATTTTTAGCCTGACAAGAGCCTTAGATCTTTCTATGAAGCATGGAGCAGGAAAAATACTGAGTTTTACATCTTGTTCTCTTTTCATCCACATCCATATTAAGAATAAAGAGTTTTTCTTCTTTTAATTCTATCTTCTGGGTAGCAGGTTTTGAAAAGAAATGCTGCCGATCACTCTGCACTATCACATTTTCTTTCCGGAGAAGACTACCTTGATTCTCATGCCTTTCTAGCCCTTTCATTTCTTCATCTCATTTCAGAGGCTAGCCTAGCTGCTGATTTCAGGGAAAGCTGTGAATGCTTGTATCTTCTTACTGACTTCATGGTGGATTTGGATAAAAGGCTAAATGGGAGGAAGATAAGGCATAACCCAAATGCACCTCCTCCATTCTCATACCCTAGAAGGTCCAGAGTATGGAGCAGAAACGATTGTGGTGTGATTTAAGGTGGGCCGTTGTGAGAGTGAAGTCCTACTCAATAACTTTGGTCTGTTGTTATCCTCTAAAGCACACATCTCCATTTGCCTTGTCCTTTCCCACTTGTACACTTCTACAACCTCCTGAAGGGAGGTTGTGGTGAAGAGGGATTTGGCCTCTTCTCCCAGGCAACGAGCAGGACATGGGGTAATGGCCGCAAGTTGTATCAGAGGAGATTTATGTTAGACATAAGGAAGAACTTTTTCTCTCAGAGAGTGGTCAGGCACTGGAATGGCTGCCCAGAGAGGTGGTGGAGTCGCCATCCATGGCAGTGTTCAAGAGATGTCTGGACGACGTGCTTCGTGATATGGTTTAGTGCTTGTGGTGGCAGTGGTGATGAGGAGATGGTTGGACTACATGATCTTATAGGTCGTTTCCAACCTTGTGATTCTATGATTCTAAAAGGGAACTCAGAACAATGAGAGGGTGTTTAATAATACTGAAGACAAATCAGAAATAGTAATGCTTTGAAAAGTGAGCAGCTGAGAATGGAGGAAGAAAAAACAAAGAAAATAAGCGTTGGTGAGTTAAAGCCAGCTGAAGACAAATGTCTGTGAGAGAGAATATGTAATAGAGAATATAAAAGTCACAGGAAATTGTCTGTTAGCAGTGGAACTGAAAAGCTTGGGAAAATGCAGGGCTAAAATGCATGTGGAATAGTAGGAAAAAAAAAAGACTGAAATGAAAAAAAAAATTAAAAAAAATGTGTTTTCTTTTAATACTCTGGGAATGCTGTTTTTACTACAAATGACTCTGGTATTTAGTGATTACTTAGGAGTTTCAAATTTCTGCAGAGGAACAGACTAAAAGAAAGGTTGGCTGATGCCAAATGTCCAGATTACATGAATCCTCCTTGGAATCGTCATTGAAATTCCTTTCCAAGTACTTAAATTCTCAGTTCTTTCTGCAAGTCATTCAGAAATTTATTTAGCCAGTAATGTATGTTTCCCAATCTGAAAACCTTGGCATAGCTCACTTTTTTCCTTTTTTTTTTTTTTTTTCTTTTTTAAATTGTCCTGTGTCAACATTAGGCTATCTATTCTGTGTGTTTGTTCATGCCACTGGCATAAACTCAACGTGGTTAAACAGACTCAGGGTTGATGTGAGCCTCCACTTGCAGTGCTTGTCGGGTGGTGGGGCTAGAGTCATGACAGAAGCTTCTCAGCATATCGGCAGCCATCGGGCTTTCTGGACACCATGAGGGCTTCTGAAACTCAAGCTGTTGGCTTCTCTGAGGTTTCCTTCATATGCCACAGGGTTAAGTGGAAAATCCCCTGTTCAGATTTTAAATTACACCTGTGTGGTGGTACGCCATTAGTGTCAGCTTTGCGAATCCCATTTACCTAGGTTACCACATTCCTTCTGGCTGCAGAATGAGCCGGATGATCCCACTCCAGCAAAGGGCTCGTCTCTCTATCGCACTCAAAACATCACAGCTGCCATCCCATCAAATGTTCACAAAAAAAAAAAAAAAAAAAAAAAAAAAAGAAAAAAGTTGCCAGCCTGTAGTAAGAGCTGGACTCATTTAACATTGCTGATGTGTTTTCTTAATCCTTTTTCTCCTCAGGGTCATATGCAGGTGCAGTGGTCGCCATGCCATTGGCAGGAGTGCTAGTACAGTATATAGGATGGTCATCAGTCTTCTATATTTATGGTGAGTTGTTAACATAAAGAATCTCCTCTACTCAACTGGTATTGCCTACAGTTTTGTTAAGCTTGTGTGATGGATATGGATCAAAGCTGCTCTGATGAATGAAGTGGTTGCAAGTGGGTCTTCCCAATTATTCTCTGTTTATGGCAGCTTCTGAAAACTTCTGTTCTGTAACCTGTTGCAGTATGTTTTTAAATTGTAATGACCAGACTACAGCCCATGGTATAAAGGACCAACAAGAAAAACTTTCTGCCTTTCTGTAGTGTGCTTGGTAGAAGTGACACGTGGTCATCCCATGACAGAGCTGGGTACAGTTGTGCAGGTTGCTCTGCAACACAAGCACTCAAGTGATACATATCCCAGAGCACCCTATACGGCATAAGGGTCAACATATGCTGCTGATAGGAAGCTTCAGAAACCTTGTGCCTTGAAAAATCTGTCCCATGAGTTGAGATGAGTTTTCTGTCTTCTCTGGTTGTGAAGCCTTTGTATGCAGATGTGAACATGTTAAGATCATTCTGTTATTTTCTTCTCTCAGTTCGCATAACCTTTGTTTCTACTTTTTTTCTGCCCTACACATACTGTGTCATATGAGCAACATAACGCTCAAACACTTTGCAAACAAGCATTTGTATGTACAGAGTTGGGAATCATTTTTTCTCCCTTCTCTGTGCATATTTTTTAATGGAGATTTGGTTTAATTGGCTGTTGAAATCACCTTAACACTTTTAGATTTAGAAGTATGGCTTAACTGGCTTTTGAAACTGAGTTTTGCTTTTCCTGCCTCTCTAGGAATGTTTGGGATTGTTTGGTACATGTTCTGGCTGCTTCATGCCTATGAGAGTCCAGCTGCACACCCGACAATAACCAGAGAAGAAAGGGTATATATAGAAACAAGTATTGGAGAAGGAGCCAGCCTTGCTAGTGCAGGTGTAAGTGAAAAAAAGCTTTTATAATTCGTGAGCTCTTTGTGTAACACCAGCACATAATTGGATAGATACAGTTAGCTTCATAAGAACAGCAGAACTATTTCTGTTGAAGTTTAGGGGCTGTTTGTTTTATGAAGAATGCAGGATGAGGCTCATGCAAGTGTACAGGACAAATTCAGCAACAGGCAAAACCTGTAGGGTTGTTTCAACTCTTGGTTTACACAGCATCCTTAGTCTACAGAGAGGAATGGGATGGGAAGAGCAGGAAACAACACATTCTGGTATGTTCTTGAGCAATTGTCAGACTTGTTCTAAAGTAAGTCCCCAAACTAATGGAAGTACCATAATAAGGATCTGGCTCTGGATGTTAAATTACCTTGCTGCCTTATGGACTCCTGCCAAGGATGACTGAAATTCTCAGTCAGACTGGGACTTCTGCCTTGCTCTCTCACACAATAGTTCAGTACTCTGTGTTAAGACTTCTCTCCTCAGGAGGATCCTGGGAACTTGCAAGCAAAACTTATTTTCCTGTCAAACACTATCCCTTTAAGTATTACATTATTTCTTACAGTAACTCATTATTGCTACAGGCAAAAAACAAAGATTTTTCTCAATACATTACCCCTCCTTGGCTTTACTATTTAACATTCTGGGGGGAAAAAAAAAAGAAGAAGAAAAAAAACGTCAACTCTCCAAACCCTATCCTCTACTTGTTTTAGATAACTGTAAGAGAAAACATAAAGTATCAGGCCCCCCTTTTGGACATGCTCCTGAGGTTTGGCTGAAGTCACTGTTTGGAGACATACACACTTGTATCAAGTCATGATTTTGCCCTTGCTACATGGAGATTTGCCTGCATCATCATGTGTCCACACATGACTGCAGACACACAGTTACCTGTGGAACACAGCTACTATTTTAAAGAAAGGAGAATAGTAATGAATATTGCAATAGTTACTTATTCAGGCTTCTGATTTGATATTTATTTCAAGTGAATAGATTTTTTTTTTTTGCTCCTGCTGTATGGAATATTTAGGCATAAATGTAAATTGGAAATGCTGAAAGCAGATTATATGAATTAAATCCTCTACTACAAGCTTTTTTGCTGAATGAAATGAATTAGGTTGAAGGAAGTAGTAGCCTGCTAGTGTGCTACTAAGCTGTTTCTTAGTTGGAAGAACACTTTTTTCATAAGCCCTTTGTAGGACCTCTCAAACCTTGTTATGACAGAGAGTGGGGAACAGAACAATATTTCCTCTAGTATTCTTTGACTCTGTTATTGATCCTATTATCCCAACAACAGGATTTCAGAACAGAATTGTGTGATTTCAGTGAGCAGAGCAATAATAGCACAGAAGTTATCCTAAAAATCTTAACGATTCCAAGAAAGTTTTTCTGTCTCTCTTCTTCCGCCGTTAATTCAGGCTGACATTGTAAGCAATTTGCAATGTAAATTTTATGCAATATAATGGAGAGTCCTGTTACTGAAGAAACTTTCTACCTACTGTTTTTCTCCTTTTTTCACCTAGAAATTTAGTACTCCCTGGAAAAGATTTTTCACTTCAATGCCAGTTTATGCAATCATTGTGGCTAACTTTTGTAGAAGCTGGACCTTCTATTTGCTCCTTATAAGTCAGCCTGCTTACTTTGAAGAAGTCTTTGGATTTGCAATAAGTAAGGTAAATGTCTGAGATGAAGCAGTAACCTTCAGACTCCACTCTAGGAGACAAAGGATGACATGCCCAGATGTCAGTGCAGTCATTGCAGTAGATTATTGCAGGTAACTGGGATGACATATGTTTACAGACTTGATAGACATGAAAACATGCTAGCACCAAATTATTAGCAAAAAGAAAGAAAGGACGAATTTCTTTCACTGGTAACAAAGAAACACTTCATAGAAACCAGCAGGTAAGTAAATAGAAATGCTTTTTTTTTTTTTTTTTTTTCTTAAAGTGCTGGTGGCTTGGCAGTACTTGGCAGGCAATGGTTTTCCTCCTTTTCTTTCTTTTTCAGTACATTTCATTGACAATCAGGGGTAAAATTTTCCATGGATTGATATTTCCTGCCACTTCATTAAAGCCAATATTGCTACAATCTCCCTTTAGAGCGTGTATGTGGACTGTGGAGTGGTTGTACGAGAAAGTTCTTCCAACTTTCCTTTTAAAAAACCTACTTGTTATATAATAATTTTCATGTAGTAACATGCTATTTGATTATAGCAATAATTATTTATTCAGGGTAATGACACTCTGAATGGCCTACTGTAGCAATGGTATGAAGAACAGGGTTATTAAGAGAAAGCAGATTTGTTTATTCTCAGTTGTCTTTCACAAATATTAGAATGTTCACTAATTAAAAACAAATGTAAAGCTGATTCAGTGTTAGTGTAAGGAAAGTAAAACTCAGAATTCCTACTGAATTCTTCAGAGTTAAACCTCTATAAGATGATGTGCTGGCCACAAAATAGAGTCTTTTCTTGTATTTGGGATAAGTACCAGAGCCTACAGAAAAAGTAGGAACTCTGCCAGAAAATGTGATAGAATGAGCATCAATTTATAGGTCCTACTACCATAACAGCAGAAGTATATGCATTACCTCAAATGTATGCTTATTCATAAGATTCTAATATAATTTCATGTTTTATACTGTATATAGTTATTGCCCATGCAATGCACACATGCTGCCTTCATTATAATAGCATCAAGAAACAGATTCTCTATGCAGAAAGGATCTCCTTGAGAACAGAATAATAAAAATACGTAAAAGCAGTTGTAAACTGAGAGACAGAACACTTTACTGTAGGACATATAAGTAAGTGCTTTCTGGTATCTACAACAGAAAATATTTGCAGTCCTCTATGCCATTCTTCAGAGCAACCACCAAAAAAGCAGAGACACTGCATGATATTTCTATGGTGAGATTCTTGTGCTATGCCTTCTCCTCCAGGACAGGGAGGAGATATTCACATCACCCCACTTTGGGTATCTACTCTAATGAGCTAAACCGTAGTAGTCTTGCACTCCAGTGCTGGCCATTGGAGAGAGAAAATTCCTCTAGAGCACCAACTCCAGAATTTTTAGACAGAATTATCTTTTTTTCCTTCTTATTATAGCTTGAGCCCCATTATAGCTTGTGTACATATGCTCAGAGCTGGGAGAAAAGCTGCCACTGCCTGGATAGGAAGCATGCTGGAGTCTCTCATGCTCCTGGAAATCCCTAAAGCTGGGACAAGGGCAGCTTAAGGTCAGCCAGGTCTTTGCTGCAGATTCTGTTGAAGAAAAAGTCCACAGTCCACACAAGGATGTATGCTAAAGATGTGTCCTATATATATGATTCCTGTTCTTTTCCCCCTAAATCCCAAGGAAGGATATGAGCAGTAAGCACTTACTTTTGTAATTTCAGGTTGGCCTTTTGTCTGCAGTTCCCCACATGGTCATGACAATCATTGTGCCCATTGGAGGGCAGATAGCTGACTTCTTACGGAGCAGGAAGATTTTAACTACTACCACCGTAAGGAAGGTCATGAACTGTGGAGGTACTACTGGATTCCCAAAATATAGTACTTCAGTTGTGTGCTGCAGCTGGTGTAGATATCATAGTTCAGCCAATGTTTTGTTGCAACATGAGAAAATTACTCTAGTCTGCATTTACAGCTGGTTAATCTGGAGTATTTAATTGCAAGCTGATATTAGACATCCTTATGCTCTAAGTCCTTACTCATACAAGCATGCCTTTAAAAAGAGAGGAGGCAAGACAAGTTGTTAATAATTAGAAGAGCAATGAAGACTAGCTCAGAAGAGATTATGATAAAATAGGCCTCATGCTGAAAACTTGATTTGCCACAGCTAGCCACATCCTGTGGTGCTGCAGGAACCCCTTCACAACTCTGCATTAACTGGCTGTGTTCCTGTGTTCCACTTCCAGAAGCATCCACTGGCAAATTCAGGCTGCAGAGATCAGCTGAAAGAAACATGGTGGATGGACAAACTCATTTTTGCTGAGCACAAAATAGTTTATTTCTAGATTGGTCATTGGAACTGAAAAATCAATGGGATCTGCATGTAATTGGCAAATCTGTAAACTGTACAGATGCTAAACTGTAGCATGACTGTGGAGTCATGCTTTTCTTCTAGCTTCTGGCTTACATTATTTATGGCTGGCATGGGGTGCCTGAAATAGAGATGCCTGCAGTGCTTGGCTATACATCTTCACAGAGGATTCTTTTATTAATTGTATTTCAAGGTTTATTTTCAGTATTATTTAAAAAACAAACAAACAAACAAAAACCAACAAACAGAAGGATTGTAAAGTTAAATATTAGGAAATGTTGATTCCTACCATAGGCAAAGCCTGGAAGTTTTCTGTGATACCCAGGCGTGTCCTCTTCTGTTGCTGACACACTTGCCTGAAAAAGTCTTTTTTTTCCATCTGCCAAGAGCTTGTCACTTCACCGCAGCCATAAGAAATTGAAGACACGAAATATTTCTCTCCTTCCCCCACCCCCTTTTTTTTGTTTTGTTTTGTGAATTTTACAGTGTTTCATAGAGAATCACTTTCTCATTATTTCTCTATACTGCTTGATGAGTCAATTTATTTTATCACTCAGCTCATTTACGCAGGGGAAGGGGAGTAAAAAATATATTCTCAATAAAAGATATTAAAATATTCCAGCAAGTATATTCCCAACAGTAAACATTCACATGTTCCTGCAATGTAATTTATGTCCATATGTTTAATTTTCAGGCTTTGGGATGGAAGCAACCTTGCTTTTGGTGGTTGGTTATTCTCATACAAAAGGCGTGGCTATTTCTTTTCTGGTGTTAGCTGTAGGTTTCAGTGGCTTTGCAATTTCAGGTAAGAATTAATCTTATTATTCATTTCCTTATTACTGACAAAAGGAATGTTACCCTCAGTGTTGTTCCTGTTGTCATTTTATTGTTGTTTGCTTTTAGCATGGCTACTTATGGAGTGTTCTCTACTACTTCCTATATCAGAATTAATTTATTTCAGTATCTATGAAAGGTGTTGCGTGTAGGACGTGAAGCTTTGAAAGAACCTGCTCTGTTTTGTTTCTAGTTCATACCAGCCTTGTGCTAATGCCGTTTACAGTGGTGGCCACCTTCCATAATGAGTATCCCTTAAAAGAAGGAGACAGATTTACTTTGAAATGAGCTCAAGGGATACTCGTTGCAATCCCACTGCTAACCCTATCTGCCAGCTTGTGCTTCCTAGGCCAGCTGTGTCTCTGTTACATCCTATAATCAACCCTGTTAATCTGAACTGCTGCTTCTACCATTTTCTGAGGCTTACCATTCTCTGGCTTTGTAGTTCCACCAGTATCTCTGCTATTAAAAGTGACACATCTTCCTATGAAGATGAAAGCCCACCTCCTGGAAGACTGCCAAGAAATGGATCTATTGAACAAAACAAAATAACTGCTGATCTTCCATCTTTTCAGGGTTACACTGATGGAAGTATTTGCGCTGCTCAGCTATGAGGTGCTTGCATGGCAGGCAGCTTCTATCAATCAATTATATTGCAGAATTTTCCCAGCACTCAGCTTTTTTACAGTATTTAATCACATGGATTTGAAATTCATCATCCTTTCTAGTGATCATCCGTAGCACTTACGACTAATTTTCATCACCTAAAGCATGATAATTATCTGAGCTGATTTTTACTCTCTCATTTTCCAATGGAATGTTTACCAAGAAGATGTGCTACAGTCATGACAACTAATTTTCTGACTGGTTTATATATTTTATATATTTCTTGTTTTGTTTCATTAGATATAACTTAAAGAATTGGAAAATATGTTTAAAAAACACTACTACATAAATTAAGATATATCTTTTTAAAAAGAAAAATACATATTACAAACATGATGCTTTCCAGAAAGCGTCCTTAGCCAGAACAGCTAGAGAAAACTGTATTGGCCCAGTAGCACAAAGTTGACTGTTGTCTCTGGTATGTTGTAGGATTCAATGTGAATCACTTGGACATAGCCCCACGTTATGCCAGCATCCTGATGGGGATCTCCAATGGTGTGGGGACGCTGTCGGGCATGGTGTGCCCACTCATCGTTGGTGCAATGACAAAACACAAGGTAATGTTTCCTAGGGAAAGGATTGTTCTATGCAGTGAAAATTAACACATTTCCAATTTTCCTGGGAACTCAATTTCATCATTAATCTTCAGCTGTTTTCTATTATTGTTGTTTTAAAAATTCACTTCTACAACAGTGCAGAGGCTGGATTCTCAGCTGTTGTAAACTAATTATCTGTGTAGGGAGATGCTATTTTATACCACCACAGGCTGAATCTCTTCAATATCCTCATGCTACTAGTGAATTCTTAGCAGGCTTACTCAGGAAACACCTCTGCAATGCATCCATAGTAGGGTTCCTGAGCAATCACCAAATAACTCAGGTTTTAGGGAGAGATCTGCTTTTCCATGAATATTTCTTGTCCCTTTTCCTATTGTATTAGCCCTTGATATGAAATTTAAAATATTCACATCTCATAAATTGTGTTATCTGTTACATCAGGAATCAAACAAAGATCAGTGTGTGCTAATTCATAGTATAGTTCAGACATTAATATTTCTTTTTACCGCAAACTTAATGAGACCTGAATCCTTTTTTCAGACCCGCGAAGAATGGCAAAATGTCTTTCTGATCGCAGCCCTGGTGCACTACAGTGGAGTAATATTCTATGCTATTTTTGCTTCTGGGGAGAAGCAGGAATGGGCTGACCCTGAAAACCTGAATGAAGAGAAATGTGGTATAATTGATCAGGATGAACTGGCCGAAGAAACTGAGATGAACAATGAAACTTTTGTAAGTGCAAAGAAAACATATGGTGCTACCAGTCAAAACAGTGAAATACAAAGAAGGGAATGGAGAAAGCAAAAGCAAGTGACTCAAGATACGGAAGAACAGACTTCTTACCATTATGAGAATGAGAATTTTCAAGATTTGTCATAAATACTTGAAATTCTAAGGTTTGTATAGCAGCTATTCCCATCTTCCCTTCTGCATAGCTGCCCCAAATCATCTGGTATCCGTATTTATTTTCTGATTCAACTGTGTAATGTCTGTCCTTGTTGGCTAGACGCAAGGGGTAATACTTGCTTTCTAATACTGTGGAAGAGATCTAACAACAATGGAACAGGGAGAAGTGACACTAAATCTTCACTTTGCTACTGGATTCCCTTGGACAGAGCGCCTGTAGCTGTTCAATGACTGGTCCTGGCAGAGCTTCTGCCTTGTGTGAGCCTATGACTGTTGGAATAAGGAGCACCCTTTTATTCTCATCTGAACAGACAGCAGAAAAGGTCATATCAGATGGTGGATCCACAGTGATGTATGTGATTAGGGGGGCACATAAATCTGCCCTAAGAAGCACTGCTTTGCCATTTGAAGATTCCTGTAGATTAACATTTGAGCTGCTTAACCCGTGTCAAACTGAAAACTGCAAAAGATCGAAGTGGAGGGAAAAACAGATTTATGACATGAGGTTGTAACCTATAATGGTCACTTAACTACAGGAAGGTAAAAGGTAGCAGAGATGGCACAGTATTGCTTCAACATTTCCCTAAAATTGATTGTCAGTCTTCTTTATAGGTATAATCCATGGGGTCTGGATGAGGCAATTAAATGGATACTTGTAAGATTTGCCCCCCTTCAAAGGTTTTGTGCTGGCATGACATAATTCTGAATATTAAATCATCTTTAGTGGTGCAACATTATAAATCCTTATGAAAGGAAATCATTAGATTTCTCAATTAATTGTTGTGAAGTAATTTAAATATATTTTTCTAGTATTATTCTGATAGAGTTCCTGGACTCAACCCCAACAGCACTTATTTAGATGAATAAGTCTATTTAGATGAGTAAAGTCTTTAATTCTGGATCTACAACTTTTTCTTCATCAATGCCACAGCCTCACTGTTGCAAAAGATGTAGTACTGTAGCATGAGAGATAGCAGAATATCTATGTCTAAAAGTAATTTCCTTTTTCTATAGGTATATATTTTACAGCATAGTGTGGCTTTAGCTTTTTTTCAACCATTTTTAGAATCAGACAGTGGAACATGCCATATTATGCTGCGACTCAGATTCATCGTGACATTAATATTCATTTCAGAATGGAGAATTTCAGTAAGATACAATTTAATTTGTCTTACGTTATTATTACTGCCTCATTAAATTCAAATGAAAGCTATCCTCTCTAGTCTTCAATGTGCTTTGTGATATTTCAGTTCTCATATACAGACACTGTGATGCACACAAGGTGAGAACATCTCTAATACTCGTTTTACTGTTTTGTTGAAGCACAGTTGAATGCCATGAGTGGAACATTTGTACAATCATTTGAATCTGTGGATGATTTATCTTTCCTACAAGCGTAACTAAACGGGGAGAACCTGAAATTATCTAATTCTCTTCAGATGTCTCTGGTTCCTTTTCTACCCAGCTAAATCCAATCTACAAGAGTATATGTGGATAAAAAGCAAAGTGAGATGAAGGCGCATCTAATTTGGCTTCACTGAGGAATTTTAACTGATAATTTAATGATACAGGTATTGTTGTGGTGCTGAGCAATCCTACCTTGGCACAATGCAGTTTGTTAACAAACCACTCCAAAAAAAATCAACAACCCAATCTTTATAACTTTATTTTATTAGGGCGGAATATAATATTTTCTCAAAATCTCAATCTTCAGCTTGGACTTCTTGCAGGTTATAATCAACATCTGGGGACTTGAGTGGCAGGAAGTGGTCAGATGTTCCCACCAGAATATCAAAACAGATGAATGTGATGATGTTAAACTCTTTTGCAACATCAACCACAACTTATGAAAGAGAGAGGGCCACTTCTTTGCATATGAGCAAACCAAACAACTCCTTTTTCAATCATGTGGAATGTGCATAGTTACTACAGGAACTCTTTATATGGAAAATAGTATTATGAAAGGAATTAATGTAAGAATCTAAGAATAATCTGACAGCCAGCCTTAGTAAAGAGAAGACCATATAATGGTAATTTTTCAAGTACTGATTAAGCATTGTACTGAGAAGAACACAAAGTGAATGTTTTGTTATGAGAAAAACTACAAGCATCCTGACAATTTCAGAAACAGCCAAATGTGAGACTTCTGTTTCTTCTGTGGTTAATGCAACTACTATTTCTTACACTTCTGCATTACAACTGTCCCAAGTGACAATACAGTGAGGAGCTCATTTTGCATCTACAAACAGACTACACTGATTTAATTCAGTGGTAGTTTGACTTCAGTGAACAGTTGGGCATTATTTAATGCCTTGAAAGAAATGGTTAACAACTTCTTAACCATTTTAAACTTTTTAAACAGGCTTTTGCACTTAAGTAAGTATTTTCATTCTTTTCTAAGTGTAACTGCTGCCAGGGGTAGAATACAATATCTGAGAAGCTGAAGTTATTTACAGACCACAATGCTCCTCTAGGCAATCACAGTAGGATAGTGGGGCTTTCTCCCTTTCTTTTTCAACTGTTTTAAATTGCATAAAATGTAAACAGCAACACTACTTGGAAGTCACTTTTCTTTCCTGGAAATCTTTGACAGTTAATCAAGTGTTTGATCTATTTGGTGGCTTCCATACTACCGTGTGTCTGAGAATGAAGGCAGTGTATTGGGATTAAACAGGCTTCCAGGATCCTGAATCTCTTTATCTGCAACTTGCTTCAATAGTGATCCCTTGCAATCCCTGAGAGTACAATCACTGAAGTTGTTTCTTCTAAAAATGTCTTCTTAAAATTTGTTAGAATATGAAACAGTTAAAGAATACAGGAAACTATTGGCACAATCCAACCTGACTCCTAAAACGTCATAGCTCTAAGCTAACGGATGCGAATGACCCAAAGGAGGGATACTGATTAAACTCCAGTAACTGCATTATTTGCATATTTTTCTGTCTCTGTCAAAAACAACTTCTTCATGTTTCCCAACATAAGCTAGAACTCATACACACAGTGTTTGATTTGAAAAACGTTTTCTGCTTGTAGATGGAAGAAAAATTTGATTCGTACTGGAAAAGAGATCTCCATCAAGCTTCATATCATCCATCTCTCATCAATGTGAAATGATAAAAATAGGCCACAGAATAAGAATTTAAATCTGAGAAGAAAAAGTAGGACAGCGAGACTTTGTGCAGGTTGTTCAAACCAACCACTGGCCTTTCTTAACAAAGCTGCAGTTATAATTCCTTGGCACCTTTTTTCCAAGTACAACTAGCAGAAGTTTAATAATACTTAATACTCCTCTTATGTTTACGTAAGAGTTAAATAAATTTTTCCCCGTAGTGAGAAGGGAAAAAATAATGAGAGAAACAATGAAAATTCACCTCAGTAGAAACTTATCCAGGGAAATAATCACTTGGTCCAAAAAAACATGCAGACTTCTGGGTAAAATACATAACAAAGGGATCCAGATGTTAACAAAGTGCCAGGAGGAGTCTCATGTGTGTAACATAATTAATTTGAAAGGAGCACAACAAAAATTAATTCAAGGTTACGCAAATTGTGTCACGCGAGTTCTTCCAATTGGCTCCTGATGTCAGATAGTTATCTTTGAGTTTAGTCATAATGTTGAGGATTTTTTAAATAAAAATTTTGTAAAAAAACAAACAAAAAGAATTACTTCCCATTTTCCTTTTAAGATGATAAGAACAGTTCTATTTAACTATTTGTATTTTAAGAGAGAGGAGTGAGCAGTGAAAAAGCAGAAAGGGAAAAAGAGGAAAAATGAATGCAAGTTAATGCAAGTTGTAGCTGAGAGCCAATGCAGACAGAGGGGTGAGGAAGGACCAGAATTCAGCATTTGAATCCTGGAAACAGAACTCGAAGTTTTGCAGATTTTTGAGTTTGAACCCTACAAGATGGCTCAAGACCTGATATCCTGCACAGTCTCAAAGTTCAGCAATCTCCTTCAAAGTTTAAATCCCATTAGATCAGGAATAAATAAATGGAGAGATTCAAAACTCCCCATTCTTATGCCATCTGAATGTCTATGTGGTACAGATAACACTACTTACACCATATAGATCCATATGTATATACAGAAGTCTGGTAGGCTTCTTTGTAAAAGTGCTTTCAATTACACACATACCAACAACAGTTACATCTAAACACCCAGTTGATAACAATGTTTAGGAGTGACAGCAAAAAATATCCTTTCTTATCTCAAACTTTTTGGATTTTAGGAGTTACAATGCTTACTATTCTTAGAGCTTTTTTATATGCAGAATTATATGAGGAAAGAAAGGAATTTGTGTAAGAAATGCAGTAACATTTGTTTTCTTTCATGCTGAAATATCTTGGAAATAAAATGAGAGCCAACACACTTTTCCTGAGAGCATACCATCTGGATATTTTAAGCCTTCATCATAATAAAAGCTTGACTCATTTAACCTCTCATTCAGTATATCTGCAGCAGTCAACAGACTATGTTTGTTCATCTACAACTGGATTTATCTGCTCAACAGAGCCAGAGCTCAGAATTGTGGTATAGGAAAGGAAATTGGCATCTACTTTTCTCCTTGTGTTAGGCTCTGTAGTTCTACCTACACAAAAAATTTAGAGTTTCTTTGAGCAGATTACGGCTGCTTTGGTAAATAAGTGTTAGGCAAAAATTGGAACTCATGAAAAATACATCTCTCTTAGCTCAAAGTTTCGTTGTTTTTTTTTTTTTTTTTCCTTTGGAGCACCAACTTCAGGAAAAGAAAAACTTTCATGAAAACAGCAAATATTTAAGGCAGCCAATAAAAATAGTCGTCCTCTCAGGAACTGGTGGTAGTCATCATTAGCACTGTGCCAGGTGCTTTTTGTCTGCTGGGCATAGGAGTAATGAATGGCAAAGGAATTAGTCAGAGAAACTTGCTGATGCTGTGATTGAGATAAGGGCAGTGAGGCTTTCTCTTGCTTCAGGGAGAGGACTTTGATCCTATCTGCTTGTTCCCTTCTATTTCCCCGCGTATGTAATAAAAAAAAAGTCTGTATGTCCTGAGACACTCAGTCTATTTCTTGGCAGTGATCAGTAGTTTGTACTGATAGAAATTTACACAGCTTAGAAGTAGTTTATGAGTCCCTCCTGACTCATGATGGGTAAGGGGAAATTATAGTACCAAAGGGTAACCCGAATTTAGAAGAGAAGAACGTGAGCTTTAAGAAGAAAAGGAGCAGCACAATCAACACTGGTGTGCCTATCGTTACTCCCGCGCTACAACACAGCTGTATGGGGCAGGCAGAAGCCGCTTGGAGAGCCCCAGAAGGTAGGTTTTCCCTTAGCAAGGGAATGCAATATCCTCTGTCCTGCACAGTTCACTCCCTGGTTCCTGTTGCTCTATACTGGCTACAGGATACACTTCACATGGCTGTGGGCACAGCACAGAGAAGAATAGCTGTGTTTGTGCTGGACCTCATCTTTACTGTATGTTTTCTTGTTTTCACGAGTGGTTCTTCCCAACCCTTGCTAGCTCATGGAGTGATACACAAGACCCTGGACCAGCACAGTCAGTAACAAGAAGAATTTTATTTTTAGCAAATTTTATTTTTATATATTTTTCCTTTTCCTTTTTTTTTTGTTTTGTTTTGTTTTGTTTTGTTTTGTTTTTCCTTTCCTTATCTTTTACTGGAAAGAGGGACATTTAGTGTTGAAGTTCCTGCTCCAGTGGCAGTGCAGCTGTGGCGCTGAAGTGTTACTCTGGGCGGCCAAAGGCCAAGGCCGCCCTGGCCTGCCCTGCACGTCTGCTCTGCATTAAGGGAAACATCACCCTTGGACAGAGCTGGAGAGCAAAGTTGCTGACAAAACTGGGAGGAAAGCTGCAGTCAGGATCTCTGTCCCCTACCCCTGCTGGCTGAAGTGGTTACAGGAACTATACAAGCATGAGAAACAGCTGTTGTTTCCAAGTCCTTTTCTGCATACTTCATTAATATTTGTACTAGTGCCAACCTCTGTCCCAGCTTCATTAATAATTGTGACCAGTTTAAAGCTGTCCCACGCCCAGTGCTGTTATATTTACTTTTGAGAAGGAGCAGCCCACAGCTAGTTCCTTCTCTCTCCTTTGCTGTTTATAGAGTTAAGCCTCCGTTTTCTCCAGTGTTCCTGATCCAACTCAGTGCTCTTGGGCCATAGCTAGGCTGTCTGCTTGTGGATGGAGAAAAGAAGGCTGTGGGGTGACCTCATTG